GTTTTAGGTGTTACCTGGAATTACAGGAATTTGAAGTAATCACCGATCACGCTAGCCTTGTCTGGCTCATGCGACAACCAAATTTAAGCGGCAGACTAGCGAGATGGGCTCTAAAGTTGCAAGCATTCAAGTTCTCTGTAAGCCATCGCAAAGGTCGCGATAACGTTGTGCCGGATGCCCTTTCTAGGATTCCAAGTGATGACATTTCCTCTCTAGAACTAGAATTTCCAAAAATAGACCTTTCCTCTACTCGTTTTCAGGACGAAGATTACGTTAACTTGCGTCATAAAATCACTAATAATCAGGAAAAATATCCTGATATAAAAATAGTTGATGAATTTGTATACATAAGGACACAGCCTTATGATGGAGTAGAAGAGAATGAGGGAAAATCTTGGAAACTTTGGATTCCGCTCCACATGAGAAAAGATTTAATTTCTAGTCACCACAGCTCTTTAACCACATCTCACGGAGGGATGTGCAAAACATTGGAATTACTCAAAAGGTTTTTCTTCTGGCCTGGTATGTCGAAAGATGTACGTGATTTTGTAAGGGACTGCGAGGTGTGTAAAGCGACTAAAGCGCCAAACTTCATAATGAAGCCGGAAATGGGTAAGCAGATAGTATCTGAACGTCCATTCCAAAGGCTTTATGTGGACTTATTAGGGCCATACCCTCGTAGTAAGTCCGGATATATTGGTCTACTAATTGTTCTAGACCATCTGTCTAAGTTCCACTGGTTGCATCCCCTACGAAAATTCTCGTCATCTGCTATCAAAGATTTCCTGGAAAAACAAATCTTTCACACTTATGGAGTGCCTGAGGTTATTGTGAGCGATAATGGCTCCCAATTTAAGGCTAACGACCTTAATGCATTTTTTACGTCATTAGGAATTACTCATGTGTATACCGCGTTTTACTCTCCGCAATCTAATGCCTCCGAGCGAGTAAATCGTTCATTGATTGCCGGAATCCGAGCTTATCTAAAAAGTGACCATACCCGATGGGACGAAAACATAAGTGCCATAAGCTGTGCGTTAAGGAATTCTATACATAGCTCTATACAAATTTCACCCTATCACGCCCTTTATGGGTTTGATATGATAACGCATGGATCTACTTACTCATTATTGAGGAAAATTAAACTTTTGGATGAGCCTTCGTATAAGCTTACAAGGGATGATAGCCTTCAAATAGTTAGACGTGATTTACAAAAACACATTAAAAAAGCATACGAGCATAATAGAGACTATTATAATTTGAGAACTAGACCCCAAACATATAAAATAGGTCAAGAAGTATGGAGAAGAAATTTTGTACAGAGCAATTTCGAAAAACACTTTAATGCGAAATTTGCTCCTATGTTTGTTAAGGCCAAAGTACGCGAAAAACTGGGAAATCATTATTACAAACTAGAAGATATGGAAGGCAAACTTATCGGTACATTTCATTCTAAAGATCTTAAATTATAAACGTTCTTTTTTCCAGTTAATATTGTTAATTCAAGGATTCAATATTACTTGGTTTTGTAGTAGACGTTTATCACAAAAGTCTAAATTATTTGTTTTTATATTTTTCCACAAATTCCAAACTATTTTTCTTGAGGATTGTTTAGTAAATTTTTTTTTGTTTTATTATATACCATTTTATGCTGCTAGGATATTTACGAATTTTAAGTAGAATTCATACAAGAAATCCCGTATTCAAAATATAAAAAAATTTGCTTAATACGTATTTCTTTTAATAATTAACTCAATATTATTATTATTATTATTATTATTATTATTATTATTATTATTATTATTATTATTATTATTATTATTATTATTATTTGAAAAATACGTTTGTTATAAATTTATACCTAAAAGTTGTTATACATTTATTATGGTAGAAAACATACATATTTATCAGAACTTCCTATCAATTTTATATCCATTGAATCACTGTGTATACTTATATACATGCATTTGTTTATCAACATTCGCACCTATCAACATTTCTTATCAACATATTTATGTATGTACGATAGAGGATCAATGATGTTATCAAAACATGTTGCGGTGGAGAGCACATTACCAATGTTTATAAACATATTTAATATCTCACCGACAACAAAGTAGTAATAAGCAAATGTGTCCAACTGGTAAAAAGCTTATTCAAACCAACTCTGTTTTAAATGTTGAGGTAAAATTAATGATTATCATAATTAATTATTTATGGAAAAATAATCATTGAGATATGGTGGGAAAAGTTTTAACAACACTAGCCACGAACGTGCTTTCGTTAATGTAAAACTCCAAAAATTCTTTTTTTTTCTCATCGGATTGTGCAACTAATTAGACGTCTTTACTCCTATTACCATTAAAGTTTAAATTAAAATTATACAAGTGATCAAGTTCAAATTTATTAATATTTTGTCAAATCACAAATCTTGGAAATAACTTGAAGGAATACGAAGTGTTAAAGACTACTAGAAGATGGACGTAAATCTTATGTAAGATTGAACTACCACATGGTATAAGATTTGTCCATAATTCTTATGAATTTCAAGTCAAAATTTACTGGAGTTTCACATTGTGTAAACAAATGGTGTTCAATTTTGTTAATTGCTATTGGACAAAATTAATTAATTTCTATATCTCCAATTCAAAAAGTGATGGTAAAACATTGGCTGGTCTATCATCGTTAACAATTTGACTAAATGATAGCCAGCCAAAAATGTTTACTCTTGCATATAGTAATTACCCAAATTATAGTCCTATTGTGAAAAATTTTTTTCAATCACAAAGCAAAGTTTAAGCACGTCCGATAACCTAAAAGCTACAAATATCAACCACCTAATCTAAGCTGAATATAAATTGAATATAATTTCGAAGGCAAAGTCAATATAATTTCACATCTTTCAATTATTTGCAAAAGTAAATTATAATTTAGTTAAAGTTAAATGGATTTTTCTCCATGTGCATTCTGATGCACATAATAAAATATATTCCTTCTTTGGATACATATCTACCTAAAATTAAATAAAACCTTTATTTCATATGTCCCAGCTAGTTTAAATTAAGTATTTTTTTTTAGAAAATGTTATTTAATTTGATATTTTATAATTGTATAGTTTCGAACATAAGCCATATTGATCTTATGAGTTAAGTTTTGTTATGGTATTAAATATTGTTTTAATATCAAATTTGTTTAAGTATCACAAATAACTTTGCTAATAGTAAACCTAAAGGGAAACCCTAAGCATCTTTATGTTTATACTATAGATACTACGAATTCTTAATACTTTATTATTTTTTTTTTGTACGTATATGCAAGATTTTTGTTTTCATTCATTAACTATCATTTAGTCCAACATCACACCTAATGGAAATCGAGAGGCCTCTGCGACGTCTTTAAATTTGGTGAGTGTAAAATTCATTAATAATTTGTATATAAAAAAATGAAAAATATTACTCTTGCATATTCTCTTAAAAACTAAAAATGAAATAATTAAACTTTATAAAAAATTTAAAAATCAAAAATAACATGCAAATAACAAAAACCACAAAATCGGTATAGAAAAGAAATTTAGTAAAAGAGGTAAAATCAGAAAGAGAAACTAAATTTAGAAAACAACAACAAAAAAAATGAGAACAATGAAACAATATTAATTCAAATAATGTAAATAATAATATTTAAAACAAATGGCAAGAATTTTTATTTTCTCATTACGTATGTACGTATATTTACTTGTTTTGTTGTTCTTCGAAATTTTGTAACTTTATTTTCTTGACAGATCTTATCTCTTAAATCCATTTTACATTTAAATATTTTGAAAACGTTACCGAATCAGTCCAATACAGAATTAACTATTATCGTTATTTTTGTTATTTGTAATTATATTTAAATATTTATACTTATACCTAATTATTAGAGATTGTTGTTATTTAACTTTATAAATTTTGTTTATTATTTTGCTTTTTAAGATACATTAAGTTTATGGGTTGAATCATTTAGAAGAATGAATAAATTTGTGATGAATTGCTAAAAACTTTAATGTTTTCGTTCATGGTGTAATATAAGTGAGGATTAATTTAACGAGGGATTCTGACCAGAAAGATTCGGCAACAGAATATAGGTAGGCGTGGGTTTTGAGCCGTAGATTCCAAATAACAGCATGGAATCTTAACATCGTAGGTAACATTATCACAGACTTGCTTTCTATTATCTCAAACTTAACTATATAGGGGATTTTGTTTTGAAATATATAGTTATGGTGGTCCACTTAAAAATTTTGTTAAATTAATTTCACGGGAGTCTATAGAAATAAATAATATCTGTACTTTTGAGACTAAATATAGGAAGACGCGAACCTCCCCGACCGACTGAAGCTAGTGCATTTATGGCTCCCACAGTCTTTCACTTATTTAGCCTTTTGTCAAGTGATCATTCTTGAATTCACTTACTAAACTGAAATCTTTGATTTATTAAGGATTTATTACAGAAGGTGAATGGTATAATAAACAAATTTGATTTAACTCGAAGCTTAATTCCAGACTAGAAAATCGTTCCGAATGTAGGCGATTTGGAAATATTTCCTTCTAGTTTTTAAATATTTTTAGGATTAAACGATTTTAAAGTATTTTAAATGAATACTTAGTATTAGGAATCTATTTCTTCTATGTGTTTCATTGTATATTTTGGTTTGTGAATTCACTAGAACAAATTATTAAAAATTGTTTTTTAAAGAGCAACAAATATAAAAATGATTTGTGAAACGAGCAGAAATAAAGTGAAATTTGCAAAAAATGCTAAGCTTTTGATAACTGGCAAAGGCATCAAAAGTATTATATTAATACATGGAAATGCAAATTTTCCACATGTTCACACTATAGCCAATTGTTGCTCTTTATATAAAACATATTGTTGATTCCACAAATTAAATACATAAACAAATTAATACCTGATGACAAAATTAAAATAGAAAGAAACATAAATCTGATTGATTTTCAACTTACTTGCATTATTTTTATTTTTATCTAAAGTTGAGGCGGTCACATGTGTTGGTGTCTTAAATTGAGGCTGAGCTACATTATTGTGTTGCGGTGTTGTTGGTGTGGTGGCAGGTGCCGCTGTTGGTGGTGGTATTATAGGAGCTACAGCAGGTTGTACAACTTCTTCAATGGGACGTGTATAAATCGATTTCGTACGTTCGGGACGTGAAGCTATAGGAGGCGGTGGTGGTTGTGGTGTACCGAGTATATCATCCTCATTGGCTGACGAATGTTGTGAGGAAGATGATGCGGTATTGCCACCAAAATTATACGAATGCGATTGACTAATTGTAGCAGGCTGATGATGTTGACCATGTTGCTGCTGCTGTTGTTGTTGTTGCTGATGATGATGAGAATGTTGATGATGCGACTGCTGCTGTTGAAGATGATGAGGTGTATGTAGTTGATGATTGCCTAAACCACTAGATACTAGACCAGATGAGTTATTTAAGCCAACGTTGCTGGAATTCGAGCCACCACCTATAGTTAAACTGCCAATATTGACACCAATTAAATTGCCACCGCTATTGGAGCCGTGTAACTCGGAATCGGTAGGTGTACTGCTGGGACTACTGCTGCTAACACGACTTAAAGAAGAACCTGTATTTAAACAAAATATCAATAAATATATTCAATCATGTATGTATGTCAACAAAATACTCCTCTTACCCGAATGTGTTGTTATGGCATTTGTCATGTATTTGGAACTTGGCCTCTGTTTGGTTGTATTGTCAAACCATTTGAGCACATCTAAAACAGCTTGAGGATTTTTCTTTTGCTCTTGTTTGCTTATGTTTGAATTCATAAGCAAACGTGCCCAGGCCTCTGGCATACCCTATAAAGATTTACAAAAAATATTTACACATATTTAATACCATCCATCGATATTAATGGTTTTCAAATTCATGTTTGCAAAAAAAAATATTCTTTGGAAATAAATATGTATAAAAAATGATCGAAGAGGAGTTTCATTATTACAATACGAGTATGATATCCGCTCGCACGCTCTAGCAGCAGAAAGCTTTGTATAAAACTACACCTATGTTTATATGAATTAATAAATAATATACAAAAAAAGAAATAATTAAATATGTTTTTACATACACATGTACTTTCTATAACCATTTATGGAATTCATAATAATAATAATAACAATAAATATGTATTACAATGCACAGTGTGTTAATGTTGTTAAAATAAACAAAAATGTAGAATTTATTTGTTAAAAAAATATTATGAGAAAAAAGGAAGTTATCAACAAAATTTCATATCAATATTTAAACATCAAAAATATTGATGTCAAAAAGTCTATCAGACACTTATACCGTGAAAAACGAATTAATGATAAACTATTCCATATATGTATATTAAATTCATTACAGTGGGGCAAAGATAGGATTGTATAATATGTATATAATTATTTTTTATTTCATTCAGGATTACTATATATGTATGTAGTTTATTTACAACCTAGAAGAAACCGTAACAGTACATCTTAAAATATAAGTTTTTATATATGTATACATATGTACATATGTAGATCATAAGTTTAAATGTTTTCCATGTCGAACTAATACACAAATTGAAAATACATAAAAAAGTTCATTAAAAAAACAAGTGGTGTTCAGTGAAACAAGTTTAAAACAAATTGAAGCTTTAGGTTTATGATTAGAAGGGTTATGCACCATAACGAGGTGCTACCCTACTCGAAAACCATAAGGTGCAAAATAAGAACATAAATAATGAGGAGAAAAAAGAATGAAAACAGGATAATTCACAAGGGGTTTAAACCCAGAAGATTTGAGTCGATTTCCTAAAGAAAGAAATGTGAGAGAATCTTGGTCTCTCTAGAAAACCCAGTCGAAGAAATTATTAATTCCCCCGATAAAACCTAGTATACTGCGAGTATTAAGTAACTCAATTCCCCCAATTTGACATGGAATCTATTTCCCAGCCATTTCAACCTGAGATTCTGCATCTTCGCATAACCAGCAATAGTCCGGTATATTTCTGCTCCATTAACTGAAATGGGACAGTAATAAATGCCCCGTTAGGCTCCCTGTCAGAATCCTTAGACTGCGCCTGTCAAGTCCTATAAGAATCTTGGTAGCTCTCGCAACAAGTGTTGGCCATAAGACCTTTGATATTTTGCAATACATTCTACTATTCCAGGACTGGTTGATGATGTCACGGATTCTCTCGAATATCAACCTATAATAGCGAAAGTTGCAAGGTTTCACTCTACTGTACTTGTCATCTTCATCAAGGTTCGAACATGAATTTAAATTGCGAAGAATATTGAGCAGAATATAATAAACTGAATTAACTCCATAAATGTTCGAAACATAAACAATTTTTTGCTCTTCGTATGAAAATATTTCTGCCTTATGAGTTTCAAACACCATTTAACCCATTCGCCAGCTGCTGTTTTTTAAAACGGCGAGTTGTGATCCTGCGCTTCAAAACGCAACTCTAAGGAATTTTAGTCTGGAGATTTTAAAGGGCAATCAAACAATTTGAGTCCTATTTTCCGTCAACCCTATTTCGATAAACGTTTTTACCACTTGGACTCCGAATAGAGATTTATTGATACTTGATCCTGTTGTAACGAGATTTTTTCATTGAGGGATAACGAGACATTCTAAGATAACGTTAGTATGGATACATGGTTACAGTTAGTACAAGGCGATGAATTAACTAAGACTGTTACGATGAGTGGGTCTAAAGAATTCGACGCTTTTATTGGTAAGTTCGACAGTCAATGGCGAAACAATTCGGAGGGTAAATCAATCCTTTGGTGAAACTATTGCCACACAGAAGTTGGGGATTTTACATTTGTCTGACGATGATCTTGCTAACAGTCAATAAGTAGCCGTGAAGGAGAAGTCAAGCGAACCTTTACGGGACATTAATACGCTTGTATTATTAAACGAAGGAGGAGAAGGAGGCAAGGAACGTTGAGATCACTCGCCTTTCTGCCCAAGATGTCAAAGGCAGATTTCTCAAAGTTTTCGTCTAGGGAGAGGCTCCTTCTCAGAAGGCACCGTCAAAACGTTGCTAAATTCGATAGAGTTTACGGCTCAGTTGACGACGTTCTGAATTGATCTACTCCCTGGAGATAACAGGTGGATGCTGCCTTCAACCCGGTTTAAACTCAAAAGAGTGATGGGTCGATCGCATTATCAACTGGAGTCTGCCAAAAGGCATAGAGGGTGGTATCCCGAAAACTAATGCGCTCATGAGTGTGATAGATCCCCCAAACCAGTGGATTCAATCTCCGGCTGGCGCTCCTAAGGCTCCCCGTAAGGAGACAACTTAGAGAGTCAGATCTGGAGATGATCAAATCTCTTTATCCAACAAGAAGATGGAGAAATCCACCAGTCAGGCAGTCATTGATCGCAATAATCCAGATGGGGTGATTAGTACCGATTTTTGGCAATCAATTGAAGGTAGGCTGATTGTTGAAATCTCCTTTTTCGGGGGTAGATCGAAGGATGTATCCTTAAGGGCGTGAAGGTTGTCAATTGTGGAAATAAGTGCTTAAAATCTACAATTGGCAAATAAAGCGACATTAACCCAGCACAAAGCTTCCGAACAGTGCAAACCATATTGGTTCACATTGAACCGTAAGTCCTTAGAAGTCCTTGATGGGATGGGAGTGGTTGCTAAATTCAGATTTCGGTTACTGAAACATGACAGGATCAAAAAGCTGTTGGTGATACAGATAAACCTGCATCACTTTAGCCGAGTTAGTAACTTTCTTTAACCGCGATCTGCAACGGAATGCGAAGTAGAAACAAGGTACTCAATTCTCTAGCCGGTAATACATGGGAAATGTTAAAGACAGCCGACAAAGGCGGCTGGGCTATTGGGTTTTGTTGATTTAACTGACCAGAACAAAGAGGAAGAATAGGGAATAATCTACAACACTGCTACAACAACAACATATTCTTGCAACCTCCAGATTTTCACAATGGGATCTTCAATAGATCCAAGAGAACTGGAATTAGCTGCCTACTGCACCTAACTTAAGCTCTCAAAACATTCAAAAGTTCCATAATCTGTGAAGTATTTAAAAGAAACGACCCAAAAAAAATATTCACATTTTGGTTATAACCTGCAGTTATTTCATATATTACTTGGTAATGTGTGGTCATTATCAATCATATTACTTCATTTAGCTGAATAGAATTTGCGGCCAATTGCCTAAAGCGTTTATTTCAGGTGTAACAAATAATGCATTTTTTAAAAGATAAACTATATAAATTAAAAGATAAACTCGATATAAATATCAGTTCTTAATAATGTCTAGAGCAACTGCTATACTACTAGGAATTTGGAAAAAAATTAAATTTTAATATAAAATAAGATCGAATTATTAGATTCAGTATAAACTTAAGATATAGTTGATTCTTGTAAGTATATAATAATATGAGACTTTTGTTTCTACTCTATTAAATTTTCCGTTTTATACATAAGAGACCAATTGAAAATATACTTTCTAATAGTTCCACTTGTTAAAATTATGTGGAAATTATACAATTCTAAAAACAAACTTAAACGCACTTTTTTTTGTAAGTACATGACGTTTAAAGTTGTTCATTTAAACAAAAATTATAATTATTTACAAACATATACATTGAAATGAAAAAAAAGCATTTAGACCTAATAAGCACATTACAAAAAACTGCCATCATTATAAACCTTATTTGCAAAAGAGTACAAAACACAACAAAGTTTTATGGCAATTTCTGTTTGTTGCTATAAAACTTTAAAATTTCAAATCCTTTTGAAAAAAAGTTTTATAAATTAGCCAGTGTGTGATGTGGAAGAGTGAGAGTACATGTAGTGAAGTGTTTTTGTGGGTGTATGTGTACAAGTGAGGAAAAGTTAAAAAAGGGAAAATAAAATTTTAACATAAAACTATGAAAATTTATACAATAAACAAAGTAATTTATTAAAAAAAAGTATAAATTAACACATACATGGGTATTTTTTATAAACATTCATATAAAGTTAAATAATTGTAAGAAATGAATGTTTAATGTAATGAATGTTTGTATGTGATTGGTGATAAAGAGAAAGAAAGGAGGAGGAGGATACATTTGAAAAAGGACTTTTATAAGAGAAGTAGTAAAAGTATAACAAAGTACCAAATACTTACTTTCATTGGCAGCTTAAATATTTGTTTTTAATTATTTTATTTATTTTTTTTAAATATAGTAGAGAAAAATTGTTGGAAAAAAACAAGAAAGAAAAAAAAAGTAAAAATAATATACAAATAACAAAGAAATATCCTTGTCTTTTTTTTAAATGTGTTTTTGTTTAAGGTTTGTTGGGTATGTATTTTTGTTGTAAATGTTTTTTTGTTGAATTAATTTTAAATTGTTTGTTTTTTTCATGTTTTTTTACAATACATAATGTAAGGAGTATTCTTTTGTTTTATTCAGTAAAAGGCAGTTAGTTTAATGCGAATGCAAATGAATCGTAAATAAAAAAAGAGAAAATAAGCCTTAAAGCACTGTAGATACATTAACAAAAGATTTGCATTTAAATATACGGGGGAGCATACGGGTGGATTACATACAAAACGAACCAGTAGAGTACAATAAATATTCTTTATGCGTAAGTAAACTTTTTTTTTTTTTGAAAAATGCATACAAACACCATGTACAATGTGTATTTAAAGTGTAATTTGTAAGAATAAGATTTTGAATTTAAAGAAAAATATATATATTTAAATGCAAGAAATTTTTAAAAATTAATGTTTTTAATATGAATATTTAGAAATTGTTGGAAACCATAGGTTATCACAATGCGATCATCAATATAATG